TAGAAAGCATAATTTAAGAGTTCTTGGAGTTCTTAGGCTTGAATTCTATGATAAATTGGTGACTTGATGTTGTTGTGAGCATTCCGAAGTTTTGAACAAGTTTGAATGATGTCATGGGATATGTTGGTACATTTAGTTTGAAGTCCCGGGGGCTCGGGTGAGTTCCGGGTAGGTTCCGAGATGTTTTAGGCCTAAAAACATAGTTGTTGCAGGTTCAGAGAAGTTGCAGACCTCTAAACCCGCCAGTACGGTCCGCACTAGATTTTGTGTTGCTGCGGTGGGGGCTTTGCGGCCGCACAAAATCACGTGCGGTCTGCGGTGAGGAAAGTTTCACTAGTCTGAATTCGGAAGTTTATATCTTTTGATCTACAAGAAATTTTGAGATGATTCAAAAACGGAAGTTGTAGCACTTCATATCTAGTTTCCAGAAAGGAAAGAAATTACATTTTGGACATCTGTAGAGAAAGTTATGGCCAAAATACTAAAGCCAGTCACTGCAGTCAAATCTACCGCAGACAGCACTAGTTTTTGTGTGGTCAGCGGTGCTCCACCGCGGTCAGCGGTAGTTTTTGTGCGGTCGGCAGTGGTGGAAATCCGGGAGGTGCACAATAAATACGAGGTTTAGGGTTTTATTTCATATTTTGACCTAGAGAGCTCGAATTTTGGCAATTTTTTGAAGGTTTTTCAAGAAATTCATCGGGGTAAGTGATTCTAACTCGGATTTGGTTAGAGTACATAAATCTATCATTGAATTCATCATTTAATTCGTGATTTGGGATGGAATTTGGGAAAGAAATTGTGAAATCTTTCAAAAACTTAAAATGATGATTTGGAGGACCAAATGACATCAGAATTAGATAATTTTGGCATGGTTAGACTCGTGAAGGTATGAGGATTCTGAAAATGTAAATTTTACCCGATTTCAAGAAGTGGGACCAAGAGGCATTTTGGTCATTTTACCTAATTCTGCGTATTAGCTTAGAATTTAATTGTAGAATTAGTTACTTGAAGTGTTATTTACATTATGCAATTGAATTGAATAGATTTGGGCCATTTGGAGTCGAGTACTTGTGACAAGAGCGTGGTTTCGGATTGATTATTGAGCCGGTTCGAGGTAAGTGGCTTATCTAACCTTGTGTGGAGGACCTTCTCCTTAGGATTGGTATATTTGGTAATTGAAATGCCTTGTACGTGAGGTGATGAGTGTGTACTTGTGCTAATTGTTGGAAATCCGATTTTTTTAAGTAATTACTAGTATGTTTCCTTTCCTGTTTCTATTACTTGCACTATTAAGCATCTTGTTAGCTTAAAAAAGCATGTCTAAGTGACTTAATTGCTTTATTTGCTAACCTGCCTTACTTGACTTATGTGCAGCATGCTAGGCTAGAATCACTTGTTGCCTTAATATGAAATTTTTGTCATTTCTGTATCTTTTTCTATTGATGCTATGTATTTATTTTGGGACTACGGATGTGGGATTCCGGTAGCTCCCTATTGTCTGTTTATTTTGGGACTACGGATGTGGGATTCTGGTAAATCCCCCTGCACAGTTGTATGGAACTATGGGAATGCACAGGTAGATTCCCCTGCAGTACTGGGTATTTACATTTGGGACTACGAAACGGGATTCCGGTAGATCCCCGCGCACTATGAGTGGGACTACGAGATGGAATCCTGGGAGATTCATTAGATATGTACATATGGGACTACAGGACGGTATCCTGGGAGATCCCCGATTGTTATTATTGGTGCTGAGCTACATTTCCTTTCCGTGTTTACCTTGCTTCTGTATAGTTGTTGTTGTCATGTACATCCTGTGTTATTTTACTGTTGTATTTATTTATACTATTCTGTTCTATAATATTGATCTCTATATTTTATTTAACCTCAGTAGGGCCCTGACCTTCCTCGTCACTACCCAACCGAGGTTAGGTTTGACACTTACTGAGTACCGCTGTGGTATCATGCCCCTTCTGCGCATTTTTTTCATGTGCATATCCGGGTACCGCTACTCAGGCCTACCATCCTTGAAAGAGGCGACTGCTCTAGAGACTTCGAGGTACATCTACCGCGTCCGCAGACTGAGAAGCCCTTTTCTATTCTAGGTATTAAACATTGCCCTTCTGTATTTTTTTCTTTCTTGTCAGATATTCTGGAGTTAGACTGTTAGATATTCCAAAGGCTTGTGTTTTCGTGAGTTTTCGAGTTTTGGGATAGTGTACTTGGTTTTGAGGGTGTTGTATTGTATATGCCGAGCGGCATTATAACTATTGTTTCCATTCAGTTATTTTGGTTTTTGATTATTTCTTCCACAAGATTCGTTATGTTCTGCATTTGTTAGGTTTACCTAGTCGTAGAGACTAGGTGCCGTCACGATAGTTCACGGAGGGCAAACTGAGGTCGTGACATTTCCCCGGTGTACGATGGCTAAGGGATGTACTGCAAGTTCCTGAGAGTTCCTTTGAAAAGAAAGGATTGAAACTAACGGCTTGGGCTCTTTAATTCAATTACTGCCTTCTCCCCAAAAATGAGTTCTCTCAATTCATTTAATGTATGACACTATAGCCCCAACATGTTCTGATGGTATTGATGTTAGTTGTAAAGTTTTACACTACGGAGCATATTCAACATTCTATTAGTTGGAGTGAGCATATTCAACAGTCTATTAGTTGGAGCAAACACCTCTTTGGTTTAATAACCTTGTTTAATTGAGACATGTCATAGCAAGTTTTAAAAATCAAAATGATTAAAGCTCCTTAGAGGTATTTATATCCCATGTGAATATAGCAGACATTGGAGTTCAGGGGAAGCTCTTTGGCCTCGGCTAAATATTTGAATTGTTTAACCTCATAATACTATTATCATCTTCTGTCTCATAGTTGATTGCTATGTATTGGCTATAGAATTTCTCTTTAAAATTGTATAGAAAGGTCAAAATTTGCTTTTCTGGGGTGGTCCTACCTTAAGATTAAAAACTGAAAGAGGTAAGGCAGCAGCGAGGATGATGTTTGTCAATGATTTGCATGAGTAGGATATCCAGATGTTTAATGTGGATTTCAGAAGAATAATCATGCTTGAACGTTTTGTTCTTTGCTCAAGTACACTTTTTGTATTCATAGATCTTACTTTCAAAGAAAATTTTGGTTTTGCGGTTGGGAATGCTACCTATGATAGTCTGCTGGGAAGCAACAAGCCATTTTCCAAGCCTATTCCACTTGTTGTAAGTCCTCTTGACAAAAAGCTTAAATGTATTGAATGCTTCTTATATTGTGCTTTATTTAACTTTTTCACTGTTACAAAAAATATGCTTTATTTAACTGATAAATTCGTTTCTGCTAGAATTTTTGTTCCTCTGAGAATTTTGGCTGCCTAGAAATGTTACGAATTCATGTAAAAGGTTTTCTAATTTGTCATTTGCAATTCTCTAAGAATAGAGGTGGAAATAAATATTATTTTGACAATTATAATGATTTTCTCATCTTTAACATTGTTGTTTAATCTTAAAGAAAATAATTAACTAGGACATATGATATACAAAGATACTAATAAGAGAAGTCTGTCCAAACAAGGCTATCTGCTGCTTCTGGATAATGATCGTACAGTAACCTGAAAGTGCATGATGTCTGAGTCTCTGAGAAATATGCTTGACCAAAAGCAATTTTTATCATGTGGTTGCAATTCCTTGGAAGATACTGGATTTACTTTACTGAATTTCAAGAACTAAAAAAAAAGAAATAGAAAAATGAAATCTCTAACCATCCAAATAAACTTTTTTTAACAATGATAAATGTTAGTTGAAATGGCTCTCATTAATTTTTTGATAAAAAAAATACTGCCTTTTCATTTCATTCATGATCATCATCTCCTTTATCATATTGCTCCAAACTGTTAGTAAAGTTTCCTTTTTGTATCTTTTCCCTACATGAACTTTTGTTGTACTGTGAAGTTGATGGATTTTTATTGTACAATATTTTAGTCCAGTAGCTAACATCCCTTTTACTTACTTCTGAGAGGTATCTTTCTCTTTCTCTTCACACTTTCACATTTTCTGTAGATTTCTCTCTCTCTTTTATTCTCTTTCGTTGGTTCTATTTCCAACTCACACAATCTTCATGTGATTTCGTTTTTGTTTGTTTGTTTTCCACCCTTTGTCTCTTTTGATACGGGTGACAAATATCTTCTCTTGTTGAATAAAAATTTTACCTTCTTTCAAGGTATGTAGATCAGGGAATACAAAGACATAAAGGATGAATCTTTTATAGTATAACATGGATATGAGGAATAGTACATCTTCAGAATCTTGGTTAACATCACTTTCTTGTTTTGTCTCCACACTAGGATTCAGCAGTTGTTAAACGGTTAAGATTCATCATCCTCTTTCCATGTCTGCAAAGGACTCTTCTATCTTCTACTGATGTGTTGCTTTTGCTTACTTTCATTGTATTTGCAGTACAAAGGTTGTACTCAAAAGTTGCCGTCCAATGAGCACGCTACTTCTAGCATTGATAAGCATGTTATTGCACACAACAGAACTTCTGGTAGAACCAATCTTTGGTCAAAGTTGTCTCTGATTTTGTCAGCTTTTTTGGCAGTGGTTATCGTAAGTAATGGTATTGATGAAAGGCAGAATTTTTTCAATACAATCCTTGGCAACGATGCAAATTTTGAAATAGGGATATTGCAGAAATCATGTATGATGTTATCCACTTATGTAGATGTCTCATCCAGTTGAATATATAGTTATCAGTCATAACTATTGCAGTCTGTTCCGTACAAGCATAATATGCAAGTTTTCCATACAATCTCAGTAACGAGATGTAGAATCCTAACAATAGATTCTTATAGAATAAAATTTGAAGCTTAACAGTTGGACTTATCTCAAATTTCGTTACTGTGAAACATTATTGCTTCTTTTATTTTTCTTATTGTTGCTTCTTGTAACAATATTTTTAAAGAACTATTGGCCCGGACTTAGCCCTGGCAACACCCCATATATATATANCTGGCCCAAAATTATCTTATGGTGTGAATTTTTAGCCCAACACGTGTAGCCCAACTATCAATTCACCATTTGATTTCTCTTACTACATCCGACACTGGTGAAAAGCTCCATCTGCAAAGCCCTCATCTTCAAACGGCTCTTCGCTTCATATCTCTGCTCTCTCTCACTCCTCCTCTCTGTCTATTGATATTTCCTACTAGGTAATCTTCTTCTCATCTTGTGTTATTGCATTGATTTGTTTCAATCACTGATAATATGCTAGGTATTTGTGTTTTCCCCTGAATAGCGAGGGGAGTCCTGCAGACAAAGTGAAACATGTTAATAAATTTAGTTCTCTAGGTGTTTGACAAAATTCTTCAATCAGGTTTTCTATTAGATTTCTTATGCATGGTCCTGTCTTTTGTTTTCTCTGATTTCATTCTTTGATTGCATTTTGAGTTAGGGCAGTTTGACGCACGAATAGGAAATCTCTGCCTGACATTGCAAGAAGTTTCATTAGCTTAAGTGGTGTTTTTGAGTTGAAAGCTTTCTTTCTGTCTTCGTTTTAGATAGTCATCAAGATTATTTTCCTTTGCTTAAGAAATAATTTTGGTTTACTAACAGAGATATCCCGAGTGGCAGTGGCGCAAGGTTTGAAATTCATGTATTATGTAGATAGCTTTGCATTTGGATCCTTCTTTAGCTACTATTATTTTGGTATATTTTTACCAACAAAGCGTACATCATCTAATAAAAATTTACAATGTTTGAATCGATTGAAACAATCATTATTTTACTGTTTGGCCGGAAAAACTTTAACATCCTGCTATAAATTTGACCAGTTAAAGAGAATTCCCTTTCCTTTCTTCTGGATACCATGAAACCTTTGTTGTCAAATAAAATCTAAATAGTGACTAAATTTAGTACTTGTGATATTCGAATTTGACACTTGCCTCCTACCTCCATGACAGAGGCACAACATGTTTCTTCTTTTTTAGTTTATCTTGATGATATGTGGCCTCTAAACTAAGTTATCTATTGTATGTTAATATAAGATATATACTCACTGACTCTTTGGATGGTTTATCGAACGACTAGGTAATATAATTTAATTAGCAATGAATGTATAACATCATGTTAACTGTTCATCTTACAATACAAACTATAAACAAACTATCAAATAATATTTAACGTATCTAAATATGTGCGCTTATGCAATTTTGTTGATCATATTATATCGAGTACACAAATCTATCTGATAAATTAAAAAGGATACGATTAAGACAACAAACTTCCCTTACCCTCTGTGATTTTAACACTGCTTCTGATATTGTATAAAATTATTGAATATAAAATATTTGAAACTTTCTTTTCAGGATAGATACACAAAGGAAAAGTTTTTACCTTTTGCAATGCATGTAGGCCGTCTCCTTGCTTGTTCTTCTGTCTGTTTTCTTAAAAATATCGGGATGTGTTTCATATACATAGCTTGAAGGAGGAGGATTTACTGTCTATTATAAGTTACATCCTTCACTGATGTGTTTTCATTTGTTGCTTCAAAGGTGTGATGTGAAGTTATTCTTCTCTGTTACGATAAAATTGCTTTTTATCCACCAATGTCTTCTCCTATTTTGTACAGTAATATTGATAATGTATATGACATTGTTAAAGAGTTTGTTTTTATTAGTAATCTAGCTGAAAAGATTAAGGTATTTCGGTGTTACAATATTAATTGCAGTATTTCTTCATACAACAAATCCTTACTATCTGGTGTGATTATCTTTGAACCATACCAAAATTAGATAAAATACATGTTGTTGTCTCAAATGAAGTGAATGCGTGTGACGTCAATGATACATTAGAGCTTCTAAATACTACATCTTTAATCAATTACTATTTTGGAGATTTTACATAGTAGAAGAGCATAATAATTCCAATGAATACTTTATTATTTTGCACTTTTAGTTTATTTTATAGTGAACTACTTTTAATTTGGAAATTGCTTGAATATTAACTTATTGGAATATGGGGTATCCTGGATTTTGCTTATTGTGTTTACTTTTGGTTGCTTGCAGATTTGTCACTGTGAGAATTTCAGTACTCAAAACTCCGAATTCACATACAAGTAAAAGATAATTGCAATGGGTAACCTATCTGATCCTCACGCTTTCGCTTTTTCTGTCGTTGAGGTTCTTTTACTTCTCTATCCACTCTGATATTTCTTAGCTTTTTTAATTTTTTTCTCATTTTCTCTTCGCACAATCAAATTGATAAAATTTTCATCTGATTTTCTGTTTGACTTATGCTTTTAAAGGATATACGCGCTCTATATTTCTTAGAATTTATTTTATTTTCTATATGCACTAACTTAAAAATCCAAGATCTGCTTCTATTTTCAATACAAATCACCTTTTAGTAATTTCACTTTATTTTGTGTTGTTTCATGCTCTTAAGTAATGCCAAAGCGGTGAGCTTTAATTTCTTGTTTCTCGCTTGTGCAGTTGGAGTTTTTTCAGAAGATGATATGGCTGAAATTATGCCAAACATGAGAATGGAACCTCTCAATCTTGTATATGTATAATATTCCTCTTTTAGTTAAATTTATTTCACGTAAGCTTTATAGTGTTTGTGCTGATTTTGTTTTGAATATTCAAATTCTCTGTCCACAAATAGCAACATAGGTGCCTCTTTGATTAGCAGTTGATTTTAAAAAAACAAAGGGAAATGTACTATCAGACCTCCAAAATCCATGTCCATTGGTAAGTTTTTAGTTGTTAGGTGACTATATTGATTTGTGCTTCCAAGTGCAGCGACTAGTTGATTTAAGTTTTGATTTGGATTTGTTTGTTTTGTCTTCTATTGTGGAGAAATTATTACAGATTCTATTTTACTAAGTTAGTTGTTGCTAGCTCAACTTGTATGTCTGTATAAAACTATGAAATCCAGAGTACTCTTAAGCAAAGGTACAGTATTGGAATAGAGACGGGCCAAAATAGAGTAGAACGATAAAGAGGCTTTATATAGTGACCTCAACTTGTGTGGGGTTGAGGGATAGTAAGGATAGTAGTAGTTGTTATATATTTGTTGCTAGATTACCTTACCTGATAAAAAAAATATATATATTCTTTTGAATGGTTACTGGTTTGTTATAGAATAGAGGGAGTTGTGATGTCTCCAAATAGCTGAGTTTGTTTGAATTAGGCAATCCATATATTGGTTTGTTTCTTTTTCTATTATAATTTTCTATTGATTGTGTTTTAGGATTTGGTTATATAGTTTAAATACCGCAATTTTATCACAACAATGAAAGATATCAACTGGGTTAAGATCCTTTCTTTTTGGTATTATGTGAGGCTTATTGAATTGACATATGTGGACGTTGTGGGTCGACGACATTACTGTCTCATCTGCTACACCTTTAGAGGCCCATCATACTCATTGTTCCACCTCAGAATTTGTTCCAGTTACTAATAAGTCTCATGTTTCCTTGCTTAAAACATAGTCATGCTAATACGCTACCAAAACTAAATAGGAAAATTCAATTTTTGCAGAGCCAAATTCCAAGTTGTTCATTTATTTTAATTTGATTTTCTTTTAATATTTTTATCCCAGTTATACCAGTTGTTTCTTAGAGCCTTGTTTTAACTTTCAAGGTCAGTCAACCCTTTGAGCTTAAGATTGTGTCAATACAAGTTGAACGCTAATGCTCCTTTATTTTTGTTTCATTCTTACATGAGAATGTGCACAGTTCAAGAAAGTATGATAGCTCTAACACGCGCAGGGAAATGAAGAAAATCAAAATTGATCAGGCTTTGACACATAGGGAGAGAAATTTCAGGCAGTTCTATGATGTATAGGAACTAAGATTTTGTTGGTGATGATCTCTTGTGCATAGTTAAGGTTTAGATTAAGTGACAATGACATTAAACACTATGCTTTTGCACAACACTTCAAATCACATATCTTCTCAAATACTTAATTCAAAAGAAAGATAAAATATCTATGCTTCATTTCACTGTAGCTGAAATTTAAAACTTTTCAAGCTCTATGCAATTTGAATTATGTGTTAAGCTCACAAATACCTCTTAATAGATTTTAATGTTGTCACATTTTCGGTAAATGTTAGAATGTAGATGCTGCTTCTGCTATTCATTTTGATAATTTCTGACGAAATAAAATTGTTCGCGGATCTATTAACATGAAGCTTCATCTAGCTGTTGGGCCCGAGCTAAGCCCGGGCATAACCTCACTAGTTACTAATATTAATAAGTGACAAAAGGAAGAGTTTTGTCATCCTCACAGTAGCAGATCTTAATTTGTTAGAGTTCTACATTTATCCTTACAATTTTCAATTAATTCCTTTTATGTCCTATTAATCTTATCTTTCAAAATCTTGTCCTTGACTCAAGAAAAATATAAGTATTTAAGAAACAAAAAGAAGAGAAGAAGCTGGAAAGTCTAAAAGCATTAATTGTGATTGACAGAAAGCAAAAAAGCTACAACATGATCTCAAAACTTGCCCACATACAAAGCCCAAAAAGTTCAAAGTTAAAAAGATCTCAACTTTCGGAACGCAGACGCTTACATGGAACAAAAGTACAATTATTTCTACAGTATTTAAAAGTAGATCACTGCCCAACTCTTGATTAAGTGACAAATGTCTCCTTCCATCACTGCATAGACTGATTTTACACACGGTGTCACGGTCAAGGACAGATTTTGAAAAATAAGATTAACATGGAAGCTAAAAAGTTGGTGGTGTACTCTTCAAAAACCCCCCAGAATATCCTCTGTTTCTCTCTGCTTTGAGGCTTCCAGATTTTCTCATCTCAACCTGGTAAGTTTGTCTCCTCTATTACGTTTCTATGTCTTTATGAACTTTTTGTGTTACGTAAACCCGCTAAAAGCATAATATGGAAGAACAAGATGAGAAATTTTTCAAATTCTTATTGCATGTCTCTCTTCGTGTGTATTTGAAACTTGAAAGTGAAGAAAATAACAAGAAACTCATGAACAATCGTATTGAATTTACTATTATACTTGATTCAATATATTCATGTGTTGAGCTTAAGTTGGAGTCTATTGTTCTTTGTGATTAGAAGATCATTGAAAAGATTTTAAGTGAAACATATTAAGAGGTATTGTTAATTAGTTCTATCTAGAAGACTGGCAGATAATGCAACAGAAGCCCTCTCCAAATTAGTCTGCAAGAGAGTGAGGGATCTGGGAGCCTTTCAACATAGCATTGAGGTTGTTTTAGTCTCTGTGGTGAGCTAGGCTGCTGATCGGCACGTGATATCAAATGACCTATTCTCTCTGCCTCTCTTTGGTATTTTACTTCCTGCCCTATGAGGTTTCATAGAAGATGCACATAAAATTAGAGTTGAGCTAATGTTTGCTGGTCACAGTAGCTCTTACGTGATGAGTGGCTGGCCCAGAATAGAAATAAGCACACTACATGACAATGAATAAGCTGGTTGGTATCAAGATTTTTCGTGGATCTCAGAACTGAATTTCAAAAGCGACTCAGTTTCTTTTTACAAGATTTAAGATCAATTTTCTGCAAGTTTTTGCTTATTACATTGCAGAATCATACTTAGATAAGTAATTTCTTGTCCAATTTGACTTTACCCCTCTGTTTGAAGACCTGCATTGTTAATCCATTACATAATTAATTTTCTACCTTTTCTGTTGGAATGACAAAGAGACCATGCATGACAATAACTTCTAATACCTTTATTGCTGTTAAATACCTTCATTCTCCACCATAAGCTAGAGGAAAAATATATGTTTGGACTAGGTGCATCTGTTCTTTAGAAATCCTAGATCCGTCACTGTCTATTACCTGTCGTCCAACAAAATTTGTTTTACAAGGATCTCTGTGTTAAAAGTGAGTAGTATTTTATGTAGTTTGAGATAATTCTAAATTATGTGGGTAATTTATAAAATTGTGTGATTCCGTTTAGTTCTTATATAAAATCAATCTCTTTAGATTGCAAACTGATTCCATGTAAGCACATCACCTTTACTTTCAATTTTCTCATTCTCTAAACACTACATATCAGAAAGACTCAACACACCAAATTTTGTCATGGCTAGATATTAATTCCTTTTCCCCTGATGCTTCATAGTAAAGCATTTGGTGGAACAAAGAAGTTGTATATGCAATTATGAATTTGCTGTAAAGATACCTATTATTCTTTAAAGTGATACAAAAGATTATAAATTAATTGAGGTTGTAGGAAGTACTATCGGATAGGTTGTTGCACTAAAGTTTCATTCTATCGCTTCTTTGTATATACCATAAAATTTGAAAATAGCTATAATAAGAGACATAATCTACTACAACAAATAGAACTATAGTCTATAAAGGTACTGTGTTGGAAGTTATTGAGTTGTTAGATTTATCTTTGTCACTAGAAACTCTAAGCTGATATATTACTCCAAAATCATTAGATAATCAAATAGTTTTTAATACTTTTGTGGAACATGATGTTGTTGATTTTTAAATACATATAATTTTAAAAGTTGTGCATTCCATAGCCCATTTAAGTGCCTCTGCTTCCCATATTTCCCATATATCTCCTTGGAAGAAGATAACGTTCACCACACTCTGCACTAGAGCAGACAAAAGTGTTGCACTAGGCAGTTCTGTCCTCATAACTGTAGTGTCCTCGTTCTCGCATGCATATTTGAACCTTTGATGATTAAAGAATAAAAATTCATGATGTTTTGTTTGCTTCATCCAATTCACTTTACGTTTTGACTGTTCAACGTGCTTACCATGTCCATGGCCATCTTCTTCAGAGGGGACTGAACTTTCCTTCAATTCCCTCTTTCTACAAACTTTGTTCCCTTGTTTTCTCTATCTTTTAAGATGTTTCTTTACTACAGGTGGAGACTTAAACCTTTTGATCTTTTGTACATATTAGCTCTTCAGGTGAGGACTATAATAAGTGAAACTTGAAGTTCGTCACACTTTACACAATAAGATTCAGAGGAATTAAATAGTGTCATATAGAAAGTAAATTATCTAAAGCTCCTAATACTGAATTATTTTGTCGGTGTTATTTACATCCATCTACCATAACAATCCAAAGGATACTAAGTGTATCCTGAAAATTTGTACTCCTTCCGTTTCAATTTATGTGAACCTATTTCCTTTTTAGTCCGTGCCAAAAAGAATGACCCCTTTCCTTATTTGGAAATAATTTACTTTTACACAATGATTTATAGCCACACAAAATATATGTGTCTTATTTTACACCACAAGATCAAAAGTCTTCTCTCTTTTCTTAAACTCCGTGCCCAGTCAAATGGGTTCACATAAATTAAAACGGAGGGAGTATTATTTTTCTTTTCCTGAATTCTGTTTTCCTTCATAATTCCCCATGATAAAATTGGCTCTAAAACCTATCTTTAGTCATACTAAGAAGCTAAAAAGAAAATTATATTTTTCTCTTTCACATTTAATAATGACTTCATGTCTTTCTTAATATTTACAGTTTATTGACTATGTGGCCTGCCTGTATATATGTCTTTTGATGACTTGTACATACACTACTTTTGATGGTGGCGCAGATGGTTATGGACCAAGGATTCAACTCGGAGAATATAAAGGACTACACGTGCTTTGGTTTGAACTTTAACTTTGTCCCTGTGTACACGTGTTTTAGACAAACATTACAACTTGGGAGTACTGTAAGTCTAGAACTAAAGATCAAACTGCTTGGTGAAAAAAATACAATAGTAGATCATCCAAACTACCTTTTTGGTTTGAATTGACTTGTTCTCTCTGGTTTGCTCTATTTCTTCTATGATTACAATAGAAAAAACAATACCTGATATTTCTTAAGGAGTAGACAGATAGTATCATCAGGCTTACAGTGGCACTTCTAATATGTGCATTAGAATTTATTGCTTTATGTGATTTTTCTTATTCAGATTGTGCCAGTAAAATTAGTTGTGCAAAGTATAGTACCTGCATAGAATTATAGAAAGTTCCTTACCTATGCATGTTATTTGTTTGAGCAACATTAAAATACTCTTCATAGTCAATCATTATGCTTGTACTATCTTCAGTTGTCAAAAGTTAATGTTATACCCTTTTCAAGAGAATTTTTTTTTAAAACAGAAAAGAAAAGGTTGATTCAAATTCAAGTTAGCCATAGGATTGTAACTTTAGATACACCTGTGCCATTTCTGAAACCCCTTGTAACCTCCCTGTGCCATTTCTGAAACCCCTTGTAACCTCCTTTCTACGCAAAATATTTCATTCTACTTGAATTGATTCAGATTATCCTTGATTGCCAGCATCATTTGTTGTCTCAGTTGTACCATATCTTCTCTTATACCATATTTTGTTCTGCTAGTAAAGGGAAGGAAGTTGCTCGTGTCCAATGGACAGCCATATCCGGCAAAGTGTGATGGTGTACGCTTGAGAAAAGAGTGGTAGTTGTATTACCATCATTCTCCCAATAAATCCACTCACACTATTGTTTTGTCTTTTTTTATTTTCTATTTTATGAGTTACATCATTATTTTGACCTTTGAGATTTCATTGCCTTGTGGTAGTCTTTTAAACACCTATTAGTCCTTTCATTCATTCTTATAGAAGCATATTTTTGGTATCACACCAAGCATATACTGATGACTCAACTTCTACAATATTACAACCCCTTGGTGAAACTGCATAACATACATGTATAATATCTAATTCACCATAATATACGTAATGCTATAATAATTTAATCTAACAAATGATGGGCTTGGGTAAGCCCGGGCCATCTTTAACTAGTATATATAGAGAGAGAGCGCTAAGTATCTACTCGGATCAGGGGCCTGTTTGGTTGAAATTTTTTGTTATTAGCATATGTAATAGACTTGAAGAATGAATCCGCCTGGGACAACGACGAAGGTCAGTTTATGTCCGTTTCTTTTATCATTTTTATATTAAATTAGTTCTATCTAATTAATATATTAAAATTATTATCTCACTGTTTCTTTGGAATTTATTATTTGTGTCATATTAAGTTATTTTAATTTATGTTATATTATTTATTATTTGTATATAATAACTTTTTAAAGATAATTGTATCAGTATGTGCAGACTTGTGTATTTACTGTTCATTCATGTATTCTAATACTTCGAATACATTATAAAATTGTGTTCATCGTTTATTTTATTTTACATATTTAATACCACCTCAAAATGACATTCTTCACTCTTCAGGGGCATTATTGAAAAAAAAAAAGAAATAACATACAAAACTGACTTTGTCATACATGGTAACTCCTATCGTAGATATCATCGTATTAATGTTGCATTGCCTAATTGATCCCGCTTGAACAAAATTCTTGGTTTGCTTATTACTGTAAGTAAGACACTGCACGCATGTTGTAAAATAAATAAAGAAAGAAAATATTTGTGTGACTATAAATTATCTCATTTAGGATAAAGCAGGAAATTTAAAGTTAAATTATTTCTAAATAAAGAAGTATGACACACTTTTTGAAATAGACTAAAAGGAAAGTATTATACATAAATTAGGATAGAGAAAGTAACTATTAAGGATCTATTTCAACATGAAACAAAGAGGACAATATAAAGGATGGGTAGAACGAGTTGTGATATTTAGCTTGATTCAGGAAAATTACAAACTACGGGACATAAAAGAATATATCACTCCTAAGGATCCTTAGGATTAATTACAGATCCAAACCAACAATAGAAAGATTTGAGTTTTAGATTTTGATTTAGTTTTTTAGATTTTGTATTTCAAATCTTCTATATCTAAGTAAACTAGTTGAGCCTTGCCCGAGCTTAGCTCTGGCCCAACAATTCGAATTGTAATATTCATTCACCGCAAATTCTGGATATCTTTTATTCCTCTTGATAAAAGATGGCCAGACAATTCGAATTGTAATATTCATTCAGCGCAAATTCTGGATATCTGGATATCTTTTATTCCTCTTGATAAAAGATGGCCAGACAATTCGAATTGTAATATTCATTCAGCGCAAATTCTGGATATCTGGATATCTTTTATTCCTCTTGATAAAAGATGGCCAGACAATTCGAATTGTAATATTCATTCAGCGCAAATTCTGGATATCTGGATATCTTTTATTCCTCTTGATAAAAGATGGCCAGACAATTCGAATTGTAATATTCATTCAGCGCAAATTCTGGATATCTGGATATCTTTTATTCCTCTTGATAAAAGATGGCCAGACAATTCGAATTGTAATATTCATTCAGCGCAAATTCTGGATATCTGGATATCTTTTATTCCTCTTGATAAAAGATGGCCAGACAATTCGAATTGTAATATTCATTCAGCGCAAATTCTGGATATCTGGATATCTTTTATTCCTCTTGATAAAAGATGGCCAGACAATTCGAATTGTAATATTCATTCAGCGCAAATTCTGGATATCTTTTATTCCTCTTGATAAAAGAAAACTTGATAAAAGAAAAATTGAAAGTAGAAGTTCAGAAATTATGTGAAATTTCCTAGTCGTTCTATTCTTCCTACCAATTGTGATTCATAATATTTAGGAATTCTTTTTATAAATAAATAAATTTATGAAATTGAAAATTAAAAAACAATTTACAGTCATTTAAAAACAATTAACGTTTACGCACCATGAAAACAATAACCAAGAAAGAACTTCATGTCTGAATAAATTTGGAAACAATATTGCAAATCCTTAATATATAAGTCAAAGATGGCTGTTGGACGACATTAAAAAATATTCAACCGCATGTCACCAAAAGTTTTGACTTTTATCAAATGCTTAACATTAACATTCAGTCCTCTAAAGCTGTGATGATTTTAGCTTCTAGATAGAGCTCCAATACTACCTTTGTTCTCAATAAATTTACCTTTATATACCAAACAATATTTTGTAAGCAAATCAAATTTATACCTGTCTACCAGATTAGTGCAATAACCATGTGATAAGCATAAAGTTAGATATACAATTTTTTATAAGAACTCAATTGTAAATTTTGTCTCTACTGATGCCAAATCATCATCAATACATTATCAAGAGGGTAGGAGACGCTATTGGTAAAGGTCACCACCTGACGGTAACTACAAATCTTTAATGAAAGAAGTACTATCGTCTATCGAATTCTGAAGAAAGGAAAGGCAAAAACATGTAGAGAAGACGAAGCAAATATCAGCTCTATGTCCTCACTTTCTTGCTGAGTTGATTATTAGCAAATGCCAGATCACAGCAGCGAGGGTGGCTAAATTCTACAACCATAGTTGGTCAGTGATCATGGCGCTATCTGCTACTTCAAAGAACATATGTGGCATAGATGCGCTACAGCCTACAGGTGGGAATCAATGGTGTCATAAGAAAACCTAGTCTCCTGCAATGAGGAAAAGGAACTTCAGAGTCGTACAAATAGCTGGCGAAGGCTTTTGAGGTAATATTATTGGAAAAACAAACTTGGAGGGCGCAAAACTATCACGAGCTTGCAATCGAACTGCTGCCTTCATTGGACTTGTATAGAGAGAACATCACAGCTTTGGTTGATGAACCAGCTTGCTGCTACCCTTGTAGTTTGTGGCAGTTTTAGTTATGCAATATAGGTTAGTTTGCCGTTCAATTCTTGGCTCATGATATAGTGAAATCTATCATATATTGGTACTATTGGTCCTAAAAAGTTTCTCCTCTTACAATAGATAGGGGTACTGTTGGCTTCTTCTTTGAAAGGAACTCAAAGAACTCCTCTGGTTACGCTCCACTTAGCAGTCATATGCATGAACAGATTCTGCAGGCAATCTGTCCAAGTAGTAACCACATTAAGCTCATCTTGCAGCACTTGGGCATAGAACATTTATAAAAAAAATCCATTTATCTATATCAAGGGCATTTATTTTGCAAATAAAGTGGATAAAAGATTAAGTGAGGTTTAACCTCAGTTTCCAGAGCCAAAAAAAATATATACAGGAGTAGTTGTTTTCAGCTTTAACAAATAGCTAGACTCAAACTCTTAAGGAAAACCCTTTCACATCAGGAGATATAAGATCTATGTCCCTCCTGGAATATAAGCACCAATGTTTTCTGAAATTTAATGCATCAAAAAAGAATATGCGGAGCATTTCTAATTTTCAAATCAAAGGGTATATTAAAGCAGGAAAAAACACATAGAAATATGCGACCAACTTGAAGATAGCTTATATGGACATTTACACACTTGTAAGTATTTTCAAAGAAATTATAGTAATAAGAAAACATGTTTTCTAATGAGCCACCCGCAGATTACTATCAAGAAGACCATGCATCTGAATATTAGTTGATTACAGAACATCATATTACTTACCTAAGTGCTGCATAGACCGGCCAGTAAATCATTGCGCGTACCAACATGGAAGAAAACAACTTAGTTTTAGAAGCAATATATCATCAAATAAACCCAAATATAAGAATCATATTTCATTTATACCACGAAAATAGAGAGGCAGGCAAGAAGTTCAAATATCACAAGTACAACATTTAATCTCCATTTAGTCTTATTAGTTACTACACATTGTAAGCTTATGGTATTTGACACCAATCAAAAAAAAAGAGTGCATGGTATCTGGAAGAAAGCTAAGAAAAGGAAATTTCATTTAATTGGTCATATTAGTAGTAGGTTATGATTTTTGTCCAAAGAAGCAACCACAACAAGATTATTTAAAAGCAACAGTCATTGCAAAAATGGCTTCAAACATCATACTTTATTAGTCCTTAGATTCGTTTCTAATAACATTCTAGATTCGTTTCTAATAACATTCATTTTAGTAAATAAAAAGATATACCACAAGTGGACATGATCAAGCACATTTTTCAAATATGTATAATTTTGTGCTTAACCGAGATTTGTTTTTGATTAGTTATAGTTGACCAAGTCTAAAGAGCCTAATCCATACTTATAAGCAATTGAGTTGATTCGATGCCAGAATCATATTTATCTTTCACGGTTTGTGATATGGCCAGACAATAATGAATAGAAACATTGGCGATTTGTTTGTTTCCGTCCGCAAGAAAGTCGCATTTCATAGAGGTCTAACATTTTTTCGCACTATATTACTCTATCGTAGTTGTATTCAACTAATACTATAGCCTTTTATAAGATACTAAAGTGAAAGAGTGCATCCAATAATGTTTATGTAAATCAGTATATGTATGCATATTATCATCATCTATTACATAAAATTTTGTTGGCAGAGTCCTCGTATTACAAAGAGACGAAGTTAGAATAAAAGACCCATGATATGACTCCTTAATGAAAGCTTTGGGAATTTCCATTACACTACAGTTGTTATCTACAATAGTACAAATGATATCTAGATCGTTCATTCTTAAGCAGGGTCATCTAAAAAGAATATATTGATTTATCTTTTTCTAAAGCAGAGGATGAACTGCACTAATATAAATGAGTATTTCAGAAAAATTAAAAGATGCTTGCAGTATAAATGCGTCAGGTTGAGTCGAAGCCAATAAGATAGGTACTAAAAGTAGAAATTTTAGTGTACTAAAAGTAGAAATTTTAACTTCGTTATTTTTAGGAATCAGAATCTTGCAGAGTTTTTGAAGTAGCTATTAAGTTTGGGAAGGAAAAAAAGGAGGAGAAAGAAAGAATCATACATTTTTCCTCAAGTGCAGTGCTAGGCGCGATCTAATTGACAGTGACCATGGTTAAAAAATCTAGATTCACCTCTTTCAGACATATCATCAAACAACACAGCTGTATAGTCCACTTCAACATTCCTGTCATTTTTTTATACATCAGATTTTCCGGTTAGTAACAAAAACAAATTAATTAAAAAGATAAAATGATGTGCTGATCAGGCACACTTACTAACATGCATGTATAACTCTAGCAAGACAATATTCAAATATCATAGCAAGCGGATATATAGACACGAAGTTATTTTATTGCAAATAAAGAAATTGCAATAAACAAAGAAGGATTGCGGCCGCACCAAATACAAATAGAAGAGAAATAGACAATCTTTGGAGATCTCTGAAAGAATGAATACCCAAAAAGAACACATCCATTATACCACAATCACATGGCCAAGCACATGCACATGCACATGCACATTAGCACTCTCATTCCACTAAGGAACACAATTTTAAGTGTTGTCAGAGTTCTCACCCCAAAAACCACCGTCACAGACCCATCAACAGATTCACCAGAACTGAACAAAAACAAATCACACAGCATATATAACATAGAACTGAAATTGAGAATTTAGGAATTTGAAAAAGAAATCCTCAATCAAAGAAGGGCATGCATGAGTTTTGTTGTACAAATAGGAAGCAAGGAACTCCACAATTTACCGTTTTCAACCTATACAGAAAAGAGCCATGCCATAAAATGTACCATATCAGACAAATCAGCAGAAAATTGTTATTCTTTTTCAGAGTAAAGAACAGCGAGAATAGATCCGTCACTAAAAGGAAGCGCCGAAGAAAGAAAGGAAACTTCCCAAAGAGAGATAACTTTGATGCCGTGAAGGAAAAAGGTAATTCCATAGAGAGCGTCGAGAGGGAGAGAGAGTTTCTGAACTTGAAGGTGAGCAATAAATATAGAGTTAAAGAGAAATAGTATTTGTTACGTACTTGTATTTATGTAGGTACACGTGTATTACACGTGCAATGATTTAAGCCCAACATAGTAGTACATTTTATGCTGCTTTCGGTATAACTTTTTAGTTCTGTGTTCGTACAATTGAACACCCATTTCTAAATATTAGTAATATATACTTAGTCAAAGTATATGTAATAGAATCTTAAGTGAAGTTAATAACCCAGAAAATAAGATAAGCAATCTACTAAAATTATAAATTAAATTAAAGTATACTGAAATGCTGTACCATGTCATTGAATATAAGTTAAATCCTAATAGAAAGTTGGTAAATCAATTCGAATTATTACTTACACAAAAAGAAGCATCAGTATAAAATACTATGCCAAAGTAACATCAGTACAAATAGAAGCATAACCTGTAAAACTGGTAACTTGATAAAACTACAAACTAGTGATCCATCGGCTAACTGGATATATATATATACATATATATATATATATATATATATATATGTGTGTGTGTATGTACCATCAAAAGAGTTAAAAGTAGCAATATTACAAGCCATGGGAATTGCTGCTCACTAAATAGACGGAGTTTTGAGTCAAAATAGTGTCCTCAGAAAATGTAGTTCCTAAAATGTCTGCCTATACTGATTCATTGGCAAACACTCAACTCTACATTAAGGTTTTGATGTACAGGGGACCAAGTTTTGAGGTTGAACACAAGAAGCTATAGACAAGTTAGCGCAAATACAGTAAAAGTACAGCAAAAGCAGTACATGTGTTTGCTAACCAGCCCGAGAAACTTTCACGTTACACTTCACATCTTCGTCTACCTGCTTCTTCAACAAGTGGTTTAGGCCCTTCGTCAATGTTGCGGAAGCCAAATGTATAGAGTGTGAATAAGTCACAACTACTATACCAAAAATTATGACAGCCACCAAATAATAAATAAGACAATAAAGCAATAATAAAGGGAACACCAGAATTTACGAGGTTCGG